TACCCGAAAGACGGGAACTAATCACTGCTATCACAAGTTCCGTGGTAGAAAAGATCTTCGGCCACACAATCACCTTGTCTGGCCACAACAATAAGGTCGAAATGACCTTCCACCCCACCTATTAAGTCCTCTCTATGGATTTCACACTAGGAGCAGTTAATTGCCAAGGGATCTCTAAAAAGAGACCCCTAATCAAACATATCCTGCAAAAACACAACATTCAAATTCTTGCCATCTCTGACACTCTCTGTCGCAACACTCCGACTTTTGCAGGATATACAACGATCTATCGAAGCCGCTGTCAGGTTTCCCGTGGGAATGGTATCCTTATCAAACATGGACTACCACACTCCCCCACGTATTCCCTCAAAATACTCCTCCACCCAACGTGGACTTCCTGGCAATTGACCTCCACCTTCCGAACAACGAAACCCTCACGATAATCTCTTACTACAGACATCCAGCTAGCCCGCTTTCCACCGAACTCCTAGAGTACTTCGCAACTCTAAACAAAGCAATTCTCATGGGCGACCTGAACTGTAGACACACACAATTCGGTGATCACCGCACAAATCCGGAAGGCATCAGACTTTCTGATTTTCTTCTCGACCTTCCCATCATAAGAATCACAAACACTGATTATACGTTTCTAAACGCAATGGGGGCATCTATCGTGGACCACATCATCGTTACAGGTAGCGTGATGCACAGGTTTGACGATAGATGTCACATAGGCGATACGATAACGTCAGACCATCTCCCGATATTAGTTAATTCTGATATCATGTCACCCAAAATTCCTCCACCTCCCAAACAATTAAGAGATTATCGCAACGCAAACTGGCCTCTCTTTAAACAATATATCACAAATAACATTCCGAGTTAGGCGAACTCGATACTACTGAAAGTATCGACCAGAGTGCTATCCAAATTGAGAACCTCATAACTGAGGCCATCAATCACTCAATTCCTATGAAAACAATCCAACCTTTCTCTCCGGCACTTCCACAAAACATCATTGCCAAAATACACCAAAAAAGGCGGCTTTTACGCCAATACAAGATCAACAGAGACCCCTAGTCAAAACAGAGTATAATCGCATCTCTGCTCGAATTAAGAGGGAAATATCACTCCTACAGGCTCGCCAGTGGGAAGATGCTACCTCGAAATTGGATTACAGGGATGGGGCTAAATTCTGGCACAAATTCAAAGTCCTAACCAAACAAAAAACTTCTCAACCCTCACATCTGTTGATCGACAACCAAATTGTCAGTTCCCCTGAACTGAAAGCCGAAGCATTCAGAAATTCACTTCACGAAAATTTCCAAACGCCCAATAAGCCAAACTTCGATCGCTTATTCAAACTCGAAACCGACTATGCAGTAAGAAACACTCTCTTGCACGAAACTCCGAACCACGTCCCTATCATGGACCCTATTACCGATAGGGAAACGGAGAGTTATTGCCGTATGGGCAAAAATAATTCTCCTGGACCCGACAATATCAGTAGAAGGTGTCTTAAGCAACTTCCTGAGAGTGTAATATCCCTTATCACTAAAACTATTAATGCATGCCTCAAACTCAGCTATTTTCCTACTCCGTGGAAAATAGCTAACACTATCATGATATCCAAAAAGGATAAACCCCGTACAAATGTGGAATCATACAGACCTATCTCGCTTATCAATTCACTAGGGAAAGTCCTTGAGTTAATCCTAAAAGAGAGACTCAACGACTTTCTTGAATCACACAATATCATCCCCAAATTCCAGTATGGTTTCCAACAAAAAAGATCCACACACAATGCATTAATAGATTTCACCACCAAAGTCTCACAATCCATAAATGGTAACAGCATCGCCATTGCCACTTTTCTAGATGTCCAGAAGGCATTCGATCAGGTCTGGCACAACGGACTTGTTCGGAGGCTTATGGACATTGGACTCCCCTTACAATTCACTAAAATCATAAACTCCTACCTTACAAATAGAACGGTTAGAGTGCGAATAAGCGACCAACTATCGACCCCCTTCACTCCTCGAGCAGGAGTTCCACAAGGCTCAGTTCTCGCACCCCTGTTGTACATCACATACAACAGCTCTATCCCCATCTCGAACACTCCACACACCCATCTGTTTCTCTACGCGGATGACACTGCACTCCTAGCGACAGGGAGTGATTACCTTCCTTTGGCCACCTTTAGAAGAGCACAAGCTCAACTAAACGGCATCGAAGAATGGTGCAATAAGTGGAGAGTCACGTTAAATGCAGGGAAAACCCAAACCATTGTGTTTCGGGCCCCTCACACCTCACCACGACTCATCAACAATCGTGAGGACCAAACTCCCCTATACCTGATGGGAGAAAGGCTCGTAACTAGTCCCACAGCTACCTACTTGGGCGTTTTATTCACTAAAACACTCAATTGGGCACCTGATCTAAAGGCAACTTTAGATAGGGTCAGAAACAGAGCCCGTCTCCTAGTCCCGCTATCGGGAACGTTTGGCAAAACAAACAACGTGACTCTCACTCACACTTATAAAACCTTTATTCGGCCCGTTATTGAGTATAAGGCGCACTTATATTGCCTTCTCAAAGATCGTCAGAGGGGTGCACTCCTTGCTGCTGAGCGTAAAATTCTGCGTAGGACATGCAGAAAGCGGTGGTCCTTTCCCTCACGTGAAATCCATAGACTGGCAAATACCATCCCCATTCTCGAGAGAATAAAAACTCTCAACAGGAACTTCACTCTCAAAAACATCAATGGCCCCCCATCTAACACCCAAGATACCCTCAAAAGTTCCTGCATTTTCAGAGGTCATGTAGTAACTCGTATTCCCAAACAAAAACTCCCTCACCCCCCTCAATCTTGATGCAAACCTGCATTAATGATCTTCCGGAAGACTACTACAATATTCTCGAGGCCACTCCACTTGCCTATCGCCGACCCTAAAACCTTTACCACACACATATCCTATCCTTACCCCGGACAGGGGGAGATTGGTTTTTTGCGGTTTCCCAATCTCACTACTCAATGATACCTGTCCGTCCCTGAGAAAATAGCCGCAACTATTTTCTCACACACACATACATACACAACACACTGACATTCACACAACATTACTCACACACCCCAACAGTGGAAGGGGTCCTCTTTCAAGCTACCGATACACCCTCATCACTGGGACCCCCGACCGCCCGCAGCCTCCGTTACTTTACACGGGGTCTGCGGTCGGCCGGGGTTATCTAGGTGATTCGAGGAGTCAGTAACAACGAAATGGTAGCGTCCGCCACTGTTGGAACACACATACATCCACTTAGAGCGAAGTGCGACAAGCCGACTCTCGAAAGCCGAGGCGCCTCCATTCACGAGCACACTCGTCCACAAAATTTCAGTGCAATACACTGGTTTTGGGGCCGGGTTAAGCTCGAGACTGCACAGGACCAATGGTCACTAGAGACCCGACCTTGTCGTACCTAGCTCTAAAACAACAAAACAAGACAAGAAAAGAACCACACTTACACTGACAAACCCTTCACTCTGGTTCTCTTGACTCTGTCTGTCTAACTCCTCCAGGCGAAGAAGGTGCCACAACAACAAAACAACAAAACGGAGAAGATCTTTGCGCCGGGGATTTTTGGGTGCTTGCCTTTGTGCGTGCTATACTACACAAACATCCACTCAAGCCTGAAGAGGGTCAAACGACCCTAAACGGGTACAATGTAAAATTCTATCCCCACGAAATAAAGTTCCTATACCTATCCCACAAGAATTAACATTGAATCAATCAATTTAACAATCTTTTCTACAATTATTTTATGTAACTATTATTAGACTTTAAATAAAAAGTTTAAATTTTACGAAATTTATATTATAATTCAATTGATATAAATAAATATATACTCAATAAATAATAATTATTTGTAAATATGTGTAAGTATATGTAAACTATGCTAAGTACGATAGAGGCGCACGATAGCGCGCCGCGCCGCGGCGGCTAGAAAATCAAGTGTACGCGCATACTTAACAATTAAAAAACAACATTTTAAATTAAAATAAGCACCGATTACTCTTCACAATCTTGAAGTTGAATGTTTAAACTTCAATTTAGACACTTGGTAACCTTAAAAATAATAATTTACATATGTGTTTTCAAGTCTCAAAAATGCGTATTTTCGATTTTTTCAGACTTTTTCATAAAGAGACCTTTTTTGTTTAAAATGACCCAAAAAACAAAAAAAAATGTTTTCCAGATTAAATAAAAATTATTTTTGAATTTGTTTAAAAAAATTGTTTTAAACAATTTCTGCCCAAAAATTTCGCCCGGCACCCTTCAGATTTGTTTAAAAGGTCGATTCAGACACATCAGTCACGTCCCGTCACAGTGATTGCGCCGAACCGAACAATCCGTCATACAAAATATTCTTTAATACAAATATGTTGCCGGCATTCACACTCATCAGTTGACAAACAGTTTCCCAGCTGTCAGATAGTTGATAGTTCTGTGACCAAACAGGACCGTTCGGCGCCGAGACTATGACGGGACTGATGTGTCTGAATTGACCTTTAAGGGGACATTTTTGAACCGGAATCCGCAAAGAAACCGAATCAGAAACATTTTTCCCAACGGGAGCGGCCTCACAGTCTGGACTATATTACTATTTTCAAAAGGCAACTTAAATGTAATAAAATTAATCTAAATATCTGACATTTTTTTACCTTTTGTGATTTGATACACTGTTTTAATGTACAAATTATTATTGTTTAATTGTTTCTTTGTTGTTGTTTTGATGTTTATTGTACATGATCTTTACTTTTTACTGTTTTTTGTATTTTATTGTAAATGGTTCTACCGTTAAAATTAATAAATAAATTTTTACTTATTGAAATAAATGCGAAGTTAAAAAACATTAAATGCTTAAAACATAAAAAACTTAAATGCCTACGTAAGTTAATATTATATTAAATTTCTATATTTCAACTGTTCCATATGTTTTAGAGCATTAGCCCAGGATTAGTTCGTACTGAGTTTACCGAAGGATTTCCACAAGATGGTACTAAGGAGAAATTAGAAGATATGCCAGACCTAAGGCCTGAAGATATTGCTGAAGGTGTTATCTATGCACTTGGTACAGGACCACATGTCAATGTAAGTTGGTTATTTCTAAAATTAACTAGTTTTCTTATTAATGAATATGTACGAAATAAGAGTAATATACAGAGTGTTAGTAAATAAGTGCAACACAAATATTTCAAGGAGTGATTATACCATGCGGTCCATGTGTATTATGCGGTCCATATGGAATAAATTCATTTTTAGCGTTATTATGTACTGTGTGAAAAAAACCTGAAACAGGTCGATTTTTATTCTTAAATTGACAATTTATAGCATGAAAATATTATCCTCCTCCAGCACACCCTTTAAATTATAAGCACCCCCTCGAAAATATTAAATAATAAAGAAGGTCTTGTGGCACCTTGTTAGAAAGGGATTTTAATCCTCTGTTCAGCAATATAAAGTTTTTTTTAAATTTGTGCAATCATAATTGAGAAAATTGATTTTTACAATTAAATTAAATCTTCAACTTGACCACCATTATTCACTTTTTGACAATAACCGAGGCGATTTTGAAATTCTCCTACAACATTTTGAATGCCCTCGAGGGTTGTTTTGTTAATTTCTTCCGTTATCCTAACTTTTAAATTAGCAATACTGCCTAATCTATTAAAATATATTTTAGAAATAATCAGGTATTTTCGTACCTGTTCTGCTAAACATTAGGGAAAAAAACTTTTAAGATGATAAAATATTAGTCAAAAAGCCAAATAAACAATTATTGATATGAATCTAGTACGCTGCTGTGATTTAGGTATGTAAAGTTACCTAAAGAAGTCAATATAATATTTGTGGTCGTATTAAATTTAATTATGGCTCATTTGTCCGAGACTCATAGAATAGACATTTTAATTATGATTGGTTGTGGTAATAAAACAAGAATTCAAAAGGAGGTTTGTCAAATGTTTAATAATAAATACCTTGGTCTACAAGTTTCGCAGTCTACAGTTAGCAAAATTGACAAGAAGTTTTGTTATATGGACATGTATAAAAACCAGGTAGATGTTAAATCAATTGATGAAAAAAAAGTTAGATATACTTCTAGAGATTAAGGAAAATCCGCATGTAAAAAAAGGGTGTACATATGTGGAAAATTATGAGTATAATTTCAGTGTATGTGGACTGTATTATATAGGGCTAGTTCAAATAAATTAGGATATGTAGTAAAGGGTATACAGACAATAGCAAATTAAGTTTATACAAAGTCTTACCAATATTTTTTCTGCTCCACACATCACGGTTTTTCTTCTACGCGGAATATGTCAGGACACCGGTTTCTAAACACGTGTTTCACGGTATTTACACTGATATCACTAGATAGAACATATTTTGCGTCTGTACTACGATTTAAAATAGTATATGCGGTATTTTTCGCGTAACTAAAGCGAGGAGAGAGATAATTAGCGATAGAAAACAGCCAAGAGAGATGCTGTTCTTCTTGATAAGCGAGAGAGAGAGAGAGAGAGAGAGAGTGAGAGTGCTGTCTTCAACGACAGATACCTGTACCAAGCGATAGGTAACAGGCAAGAGAGAATGACTGTCCCTAGCGGTAGCCGACAATCAAGAGAGCGACTCTTTCTTCTTTGCTATCTTAAAACTGTCTGTATTTGTAATGGAGTGGGATTAAAATGTCAGTAGGAAGGGTTATCAAGGGTTGGACTAAGATAATGATTGTAAAATTGTGATAGAAGGATAGTTAATAATACAGCGAAAAAATGACATGATTTTTCGCATGTGAAAAAATTGAACACCGCATAAGAAAACCCTAGAACTTGCCGCCGTCAATGATATAAGTAAATCATCTGGAAAATAATACCCTTACAAAATTCAGTTGGTTCAGGAGTTAAATGAAGATGATCCTGATAGAAGGCAAGAATTCTGTGAAATGATGATGTACAGAATGATCGCAGATTTGCAGTTCATAAACAAAATAGTTTTATCTGATAAAGCGACGTTTCATTTAAACGGAACGGTTAACAACCAGAACTGTAGATATTGGAGTAGGTAAAATCCTCACTGGGTGTGTGAGACTCACACGCAATATCCTAAAAAAGTTAACGTTTAGGCTGGTATCTTTAACAATAAAATTATTGGTCCTTATTTTTTTTAAGGCATAGTTGATGGTGAGGTTTATCTAGATTTTTGATTAACTTTTTAGTGCCTACATTACGAAGATCTTTTCCTGATAATAATCATCCAAATGGGATAGATCGATCTTTTCGATCGATCGATCATTTTGCACGTATAGTTAAAAATTATTTAAACGAGGTTTTTCCCAATAGGTGGATTGGAATACGTGGAACGATCGAATGGCCGGCTAGATCCCCCTATTTGATTCCTTTCGATTACTTCTTATGGGGTTATTTAAAATCTAAAGTATATTTTAATAGACCAAACAGTATTGCTAATTTAAAAGTTAGGCTATCGGAAAATACTAACAAAATAACCCCCAAGGTCGTACAAAATGTTGTACGAGAATTCCAAAATCGCCTCGGTTATTGCCAAGAAGTAAATTATGATCATTTTAATTTAATTGTAAAGTACATTGAAAAATACATTCTAAAATATTAAGTTTTGTGATAGAGACATTATCAAAATTTTACATCTTAAAAATCAATTTTCTCAGTTATGATTGCACCAAATTTAAAAAACTTTATATTGCTGAACAGAGGACTAAAATCCATTTGCGCATTTTAGTTCCTAACCTTTTTTCCTAAAAGTTAAAAATGGCTTAGATATTGAGCAAAAACAGTTTAAAACAGTTTAAAATTAAGATACGGCTAACGCAAAAGCGAAATTCTCGATCGATCCAACGAATTTACCTTGTGTAGGCTATCGCGCCTCTTCAAGGATGTGGCCATTTTGTTGGTCAAACAGGAGTCTCATGTTGCCGGTCTCCTAGACAGGGCGTGGCTGTGGCAGTAAAGCCGGAGTGTCATAAGAATTTTCACCTTTTGGGTGCCGTATGGCCAAACCCGCTACTAAGTACAAGTTCCAAGGGAAAACGGTCCTTTTCAGATTGTTGGTCTTCTGTTTTGTTTGGTTTTAAACGCGTGGAGGATAGCTGTGGCTATATCCTCACCTAGGATCAGGTATCGTCATGCAATGAGATTGGGAAACCACAGAAAACCGATGTCCCCCTGTCCTTGTGATTTGAATTCGACTCTTAAGGAGTGTGTGTGGTGCTCACTGTTTGATGTTTGATATTATGGATGTGTGTGTTTATGAAGTTGTTAGGTATAGTTATTGGTTGTGAGTTGTTGTTTATAATTGTGAGCTTGGTGGAGGTTAAGTGTATATGTGGGTAAATGATAAGTATATATTTGGATGATGTGTGTGGGTAAATGATAAGTGTGTATCAAAGTGAGACTACATTATAATGCGCTCCCTAACTTTCGCATCGTGATTGGTTGGTGGGTGGGTCCCAATTTAAAAATTGGCGGGTTTCATGTTTATTAAAATGACAATAAAATTGAGGTATTGTGGCACAGTATATGGCTAAACAATTTATTAGCAATATATTGTGGTATTTGTACAAAGCGGATGATATTCACATTTTAGGATTAAGCTGACTAGTACAGTTTTATTAGAAATTAAAATTTATTTTTCTTTTGACATTATGTAGGTGAAATTAAATTCAGACATTGTGTTTATTTAATTTTGATATGCTAGTGATGCTTTTTTATTAGATATATAGACATTGTTTTAATTTTTTTGTTTAGGTAATTTTTTATTAAGATTCTTTTATTAAGATTATTAAGATAGAGGTTCCTCTTATTATTTTTATTTCTAGAACATTCATTACCATTATTATTCTCATAAGCTTTCTCTATGTGGAATCGGCTTCTCTAAATATTTTCCTCTAAACTTTTCTGTTCTCTTCCAGGGACTAAGTACCTCTCCGCTTTTTGTGTGAGATTTATGGTTTTTCAGAAACATGTAATTTCTGTTCATCCCCTTTTTTACTGCCCTACATTCAGTACCATACATCATAGCTGGTCTAAAGGCAGTCCTATACAATTTACCTTTTAGTTTTCTTGGTACCTTTTTTATCATGCATCACTCAATTTGCCTCTTTCCTTTCTTCTTCTTCAAGTTCCACTCCTATCGGAGATTGGAAATCATTCTGGCAATTATAATTTTATTGGTTACTCGCCTGAATAGTTCAATTGAACTGCATCCAAACCACTCACGGAGATTGCGTAGCCACGAGATTTTACGTCTTCCTACGCTTCTTCTACCTTTGATTTTACCCTGCATTATATTCCTTAGTAGTTCGTACTTTTCACCTCTCATGATGTGCCCCAAGTATTCCAATTTCCTGATCTTTATGGAATTTAAAACTTCGCATTGTTTTCCTAGTTGTTTGAGAACTTGTTCGTTTGTTTTGCGATCCATCCATGATATTTTCAAAATGCGTCGGTAACACCACATTTCGAATGCTTCTAGGTTTTTAATGTTGGATTTTTTAAGTGTCCAAGCTTCAACTCCATACAAAAGGGTAGAGAAAATATAACATCGAAGCATTCTTATCCGGAGCGATATATTGATATCGCGATTACAAAAAAGTTTTCTCATTCTATTAAAAGTTGACCTCGCAATTTCAATGCGGCATCTTATTTCTTTTGTCTGATCAGTATCTTCTGTGATCCATACTCCAAGGAATTTGTACGAAGATCAATTCATCAGATTCAATTTCTGTATTATCTAGTACTAGCTTAACTTTGATGTTTTGTGCTTTTGTAAATACCATGAACTTGGTTTTCTTCAAATTGATTTTTAGTCCATAATCGTTGCAATATATATTTAGCTGTTCAGCAAGGTGTTGCAGTTCTTCTAGTGTTCCTGCCAAAAGAACGGTGTCGTCAGCATATCTTATGTTATTAAGTGGCTCACCGTTTATTATAAGGCCCTCACTGATCTCGGCAAGCGCTAATTCTGAGATGGCTTCACTGTATAAATTGAATAACAAGGGTGATAAAATACACCCTTGGCGGACCCCTCGGCGAATCTGGATATCCTTGGTCAGTTCG